CTCCTACTGGATACAAAGCAATCGAAAAAGCTTTGAATTCGTAAGTTTTTGTTGAATACATCATCCTTTAGACCCGTGAATATTATCTAACAAACAATTCTTATTTGTAGTTGTGAACCATGTCCCATAATTGACTGCAAAGGGCTACAAGTGCATGTGGAATGTAGCGCACGTTGTAGATGTGACTTTGAACAGGGGGGTTGGAGTTTGCTACGTCATCAAGGTTTTCACCACCATGTCTGGCCAGAGTCAAAAAAGGCCGACCCTATTTCCAAGGCCAAGCTCGAGGAAATAGTCGTCAATGACCCTTCAAGAGGTCCTATTGGTCTCAAGGTATATAGTTACATCTTACATTCGAATATTTACGTTAATACTTACACAATATACCTATCCGTTGACTAGGTCGGACAAGCCCATACCGGAAATCGTCCCATAAAGTCTGTGACAGATGTGCACGAGTCTTTTTCGAATATAGACCGGCTAGGTTATTTGCGTCGAGATATACTACGTAGACATGACCTCATGCCCGATAAGCTGGACCCAGAAGCTGCTGATAAATGGATGTTATCCTTTGAACATTGGGAAAAGTAGGTTATATTAATTTTTACCTTTAATTTTTAACTTATATCCCAGTTATTATTAATATGTTTACTGATATGACTTCAAATCAATACATCAGACATGATATGCTATTGCCATCTTGTTCTATGTTACGTGAAAATCGTCATATTTCATTTCAGAGCCCTTGGATGCAGGAAGTACTTCTTCACAAAGATAAAAGCGGCGAGTGTTACGAAGGAGGACTTTTATCGGACGTCACGTACAGGTTCTTCCACAACGGATACCTTTTGTCTACTTCAATGTTCAATAGTCGAATCGAACGCTGGGTTCCAGTTCTTCTCACTTGGATCGGCGGTCTTGAAACTGGTCACTACAAGGCGCACTTCAAAACACTGTGCAACCTTATCAACGACACATCCAAATCGGAACTTCAGAAGAAGAGGCTATTGGATCAGGTGGTCGATTTCTCCTTAGCTCAGAAGAACGGATTTTTAGAAGCGTATATGGAGGTTTTCAAAGTCTCGTACAGTAGCCGCGTTCAAACCTAACCCGGTTGACACAAAAACCCGGTTACCCAGTTGCTTTTCTGGTGGTAACTTTGTGTATCCATTGACAGTTCTTGACAGCTTCCAGCCAAAAAGTCCACCGGGTCAACTGGGTTTTTTGAAACCGGGTCAGGTTTGAACACGGCTAGTGTAGCACTGACAAGGTTACATGGATGTGAGCAGCACTTCTTACAGTCTGTCACTCGAATAAAGAAGAACAACTTAATAGTGCGGCCAGATCTGGAGGTAAGTATTTATTGATTTGCACCTTTGCCCCTAAGTTTTTCCATCCAACCTCTCAGATGTTTTTTTTTTACTTTTCAGAAAACATGGGTACTCATGTGTAAAGATTTGTTAGCGCCAGACGAGCCCGGCAAAGATGACTTGGACGAAAGATTTAAAAAATTACTTACTAAATTTCCGCGTGCGAAAAATTGGGTGGATTGGTGGAAGATGTCTGACATCCAATCCATGTTGTGTTCCGCAAGGAAGCGGATACCAGAGGACGACCCACCTTTACTCCACGAGGACAGTGACGACGAGCGCGAAGATGTACAAGAAGATGGTCCAAAAAGGCGCCCCGGATTGCCTTCCACGACCAACGGCCAAGAGTCGATGCACAGAGTGTATTACATGCTCTGGTAGGTACAAGTTATTTATTCATCAAATGAACTCAATACGGTCATTATATGAATACCACTGACATATGGTTGAATATTCTTTAATTTGTTCAATTATTTCTTTCGATCAATATTATTTTTGATATAATATCAATTCTATTCCTTCAGTGATGGGAAATGCACCATCCTGCAAGGATTCATTCAACTGTTGGCCTTTTCCAAAAGTTTAGAGCGGGATCATCGTCAGTTGGAAAAGGGATGTTCAGTTGCTTACGCTTCAATGCAAAAAAATTGGGAGGAAGTTGTAGAGGCTTTGGGGATGGACAAACCTACGAAACGACGTTACACGGCGAAAGATACCAACGATGGCAGACCACCTGATACGACGGAAGCCTTGCTAGGTTCAAAGAATAAGGTAAAAGGGAAATCAGCAAAGAAGACTGGGCCAGGCCGCCCTACAGGCTCACAGAATATTAATCGAGCGCCTTTGTCAACTTACCAATTGTACACTAAAGGTGTCACAAAAGGTACAAGGAATCGATGTTGGCAAAGTTCAACTCTGGAGTGTCTATACGCCCTTTTTGGACCTTTCTGGAGCCAATTTGCCTCGGTCAATGGCACGGGACTAGTTCATGAAGTGTATCGACATCTCACTTTTCGATGCAATGCCAAATTGGACACCAACAAAGACTTCGCCCAAGTTATGTCTCGAGGACAGAGAACAATCCACAAATCAATTCGAGCATTGACGAACAATGGTACCTATGACGCAGACATCTTTGCGTCAGCAGATGGCCTGATGGAAAAGCTGCTTCTACCCGGTACCAACTCCCTTAGGCCACTATTTGAAGTGCCTTTTCGAAGATCAACGGTGTGCCCTCGCGACGTCAACCATGGCACACATACAACTACCTCTAGAGCTTGTTTAATGATCCTGCCTAGGATATTTCGTGACACCGGATTCTCATACGGTGACTTGGGGCAAATGCTCAATGCTTGGGCTTCCCAGGGTTTGACCTGGCCCAGCGGAATTGTTTGCCGGGACTGTCACCCCCTAGCTCCGAAGCCAAAGAGGCATGATGCAATTCTGATACTCAGCTCTGGAAATGAAGAAGATAGTAAGGACGTTGAGGTCAGCCACCCTGCTTTGATTCCTCCTCAAGAAGAAGAAGTTCAAGGTGCACTTACAATGCTAGACGAGAACTTCAAGATTCACATCACGGATACTTCTTCAGCCCCTTTACACCTGTATATTTTACTAGACGGTGTTGTTGGATTGCCATCCAATGTTCAAGCACGGTACATGGGTGAAACCAACTGGCCAGCACGGATTCAAATTGAAGGAGTTGAGTATTTGATGATGACTCGTGGATTTTGGGCATTTAGCCACTATTGGTGCAAGGTGGTTAGGTCAGTTGAAGGTGTCCTGGGTGTTTGGCTTTACGACGAGGCGCGAAATGGCGGTAGGGCCCAGCTTCTTGACCGTGATGTGACAAGTATCGCTGGGTGTGAGCCTCACACAAGCTGGGCTTGTTATTCTAGAGTTCCTTTTGAACACGAAACTGCAAGCATCTCACGGTCTATACGAGCTATGATGAAGACTTTTCCTCAGCGACATATGAACATTCCTTTTTCACTGCCTACAAATCGATTCCCCATTGGTGGAGGCCTACCTTCACTCGAAGATGATGAATCTTTCAACAAATTTGTTGGCAACGCCTCAACAAGGGCCGCGGAACCATCATCCACGCAACATCTTGAAAACTCAAATCACATCGAGCCGACCATGATCAAAGAAGAGGTAATTGTCCCGTTGCAGGAGGAAGAAAACTCGAAGACCAAAAAGTCTTTGAAGATCACAATCAAACGCCATGCAAATACAAATACTTCAACTGACCCTCCTGGTAATCAATCTGTTCAATCAACTGAAGTGAAACCAAAGAGAAAATATGTCAGGAAAGCAAAAGCAAAAGCTCGAGGCTAGTCCTTTTCTGCTATTCCTTTTCTTTAATTTTTCTCTTTTTTGTTATACCCTTCTTGTCACTCATTTTATTGCACTTTTGCGCTTTGTTTTCCTCACCCTTCAACTAATTCATTCTTTTAATAATCATTTCAATAATTTTAATAATTTTTATATCATCTT